GTTATTACAGCTCCATAATCAGCCCTTTTATAGCTGAATGTATATACACATAAACACACATATGCACATGCACATATGTACATGTATCAGTTTAGTCTTTTCAGAAACATGTTGCACATATACATATGTGTCTTCATATATATGAATGTTTCATTAGAAGCTAAACAGACAATGAATAACACAGTCTGTGCTATTTATTTTATGCTGCTCCCACTTTGCATTTTGTCAGTATGGAGCAGAATGTTGTATTACAGAAGTTCCTAGAGAATAGGAATCAATAGACTTTGGATGCTTAGAAGAGAACTGGAGGAGAAATAAGATAGTGAGATGAATGCATTAGCTGTAAATGTCTGTGAAATAGATTATTCACCCACAAAACAGTTAAAAACATTTGATATTCAGGCTTCACAGCTAACACAAATTGTTTCAACAAGGTGATTTGTTCCTTCCAAAAGTTGATCTATCCAGAAAATACTACTGGGTCAGTTATATTCAGTTCATGTTTTAAAAGTACTTTTCTCCTTTGCCTTTCTATTCCAAGAGCTCGTTACATATTTATTCAGTTGAAAAATAATTAATGATAATTTATGAAAAGTTCAACAAGTAAGAAAGTGTGAAGTCTGAAAACTGGAAAAGTATGGGGCTTTATAAACAAAAAACTAATGATTCTTTCATGCAATTTCTAATCAGCTAATAGGATGAAGGTAAATATTATCATGGTCTTTGATTTTCACAATTGCCCCTGTACTTTCGGTGTATGATGAAAAATTAAATAGGACATGAAAGAAAGAAAAAGCATTTTATGATTTTGCTTCTAAATCTAGATTAGAATATTAAACCAGTGAAGTCTTAAATTTTGTTAAAGTACTCTGATGATATTCTATTAACTTGTACTCATCTTAAATAAATGGAGATACAAAGTGCCAGATTGTACATCAGGACAAAAACTGTTAAAAAGATTTTGTCTGAGATTTTTTTCAGATAAGTCTCTGGACATGGGAAGTACAGTTTTGTGATAAGTAAGCCTGCAGCTTCAGGTTAAGAAGACAACATCATGCAATGTGTCTCCTCATGGTTTTTAAATTTCGGATTAGGGATTGTAAACCCCCTCTATAAACAACTGGGATTCCAAATTCAGTTTTCACCTGACTGTTCCTAATAAGTCGAAGTGCATCAGAAACTATAAACCAAAGATACAGTATTTCCCTAACACAAACAATGCAGTCACAGCTGAAATCTAAAAGGTAAAATAGAACTGAAACTTTTACCAGAGCTTAATGAGGTAAGGTACTAGTATCTCAGTGGGGAGGCAAGTAAATTGGGTGATTACTCCAACACATGTCACACTGAGGTCTGGCAATTTATGAAAGATGAATATTTAGATTAAATTTCTAAATGACAGGTATAAAACTGTATGTAGATCTTTGAAATAGCTAAACAATTTCAAAGTACTCAAATTAAGGAAAATTGATTAGTACAATATTGTATTAAAGCTGCTTTTTTTTTTTTCAAATCAGAAAAGTATGCAAAGTGCAGTTTGTAAATAACATCTTTCAGGAAAAAAGAGAATAACAGGAAAAGAAGGCCTGACACTGCTGCTGTCTTTCATATGACTTCATAATAATTTCAGATGGATTACTGGGTGACAGGAGTTACAGACTTTAAGAACTTGGTTAAGAATTATAATGATTAAGTAGATAGGAGTACTAAAAGTTGTAGTTAATAATCATCTTTTTAATTCTCATTAAGAAACTGAGAAAAGCAAAGAACAGCAGAAAGAGTAGTAATTCATGTAATGAAAAAAACACAAAGCAAAGATCTGGCTCTTCCTGTATAATGGCCATTGCAAATTAGCATGGCATATGGGATGGATTGTATTACAGCATCTCTCAGATATTATTCAAAGTTTTCAGCAGTGAATACACCAGACAACCAAAGTCACAGAAGACTGAAAAAACCCAAACCCAAATACTCCTGGCATATTTGCTAGCATCAAACCTATGTAATACAACTTGATGTCTCTAAAATCTGTCAACATTACATATTGTCAAGTATTCTGAACACCAATACTTTTCCTCTGATACTGAGCATCATCACTGATAATCCTGATGCAACAGAATTTTAACCAGTGTCCCCTCAAAAAGTAAAAAAACCCAAAAACAGCAGAGGACAACCAAACCAGAGACTTAGAAGAAATTCTCCCAAGGAAGATGATAATGGACTTTCCATTTACCAGATAAACACAGAAAGTGGAAAGTGTGAGAGCTGCTAGGTTTATTGAGAGTGGTGAGTATTCAAGGAATGCCAGCTGGAGTACTACCTGCACAGACCATGCATGATTCCAATCATCTCCACAGAGTTTTCCAGTCTTTTCTTTATGACACTCACTATATTCTCCAGCCCACAGTCCCACAGTATTTTACATGAATTCAACGGAAGAATCCAGTTACCATCTCAGAGGTCAGTTTACCCTTTTCACTCTTGCACAAACTCAAACTTGACATTTTACTCAGAGAGATTTTCAACACTGACTGGGGAAGGGTAAACGAGAAAGTTCCTGCTGGTATGAAACAGAAGTAAGTTTCAACCCTCTTCAAATATTCTGGCTCTGCTCAAGAGCATCCACACAGACACAGTGGGAAGAGACTATCTAAAGAAGATAGATGAAGGCCAGACAAGTATCTGAAACCACTAGAGGACAGAAAGATGCATTTGGGAAACAGGGAGAGTTTGATATTAGAAAGATATTAAAAAGCCATAGTATGGTTGAGGGGCCTGGGTTTGGAAGGAAGACCAACCTGCTCCGGACAGCTGCTTGAGCTGCCGCTACATCTACCTGGGTCATAATATGCACAGTCTTTTGCAGGCAGATATGAGCTTATTTTGCACGAGCTGACCAGAAGCCATTCTGCTATGACAGCATACCATCAAGCGCTCGGTAGTAAGCCTTGCTGCAAAGCAGTGTGTATTAGATCAGGCAACGTACCATTCTCATGTGGCCCCAAGTCCTCAGGCTGACCCAGAATGCAGGCTACAGTAAGCTCACATCAGTTTGCAAATGGGCGTGCACATACACTCACAAGGAAAAAAACAAACAGAAAGAAGAAAGATTTCAAGACCAATGTGCAATGAATCCATCAACTATGGGGTAGGAAAAACCAAGGTTTTCAGGAACAGGGATGAGCATAAGTCCCTGAGAAGCAGTTGGGAAAAATTAAAGGGAAGATGGAGCTTATGGGGGGGGGTCGACACAGGACATGCTCATTCCGAGAAGGGGCACTGTGAAGCCCCAAATTTATAACAGATGCTTCTTTCAGAGGCAGCTCTTTAGCTGAGACACCTTATACATTGGAAATGTAGACACATAAGGTGGGACATGTCTTTATGGGATGACTTCTGTCACAGTGATTTGAGAAACTTCTTTTCCTAGTGATTTGAATGCAATGCAACACAAACTCTTTTCAAAATCAATACAACCCAGGTACAAGTACCTGGCTTCAGTCACATACCCCAAGACAGCTGGTATTCACATAATCACACCTGCATGTAAGTCCAATGAAAGTATATTTGCAACATGGGAAGTTATTACCTTCTATCTTTCATTCTCTTCTGACTACATATAAAACATCAATAATAATAATTACTTTTCCCCTTAAACTTTTCAAATATTACTTTGGAAAGGGAGACATTTCATCTGATGAAAGAGCACAAAGACAAAAAGGTGCTTGCTACAGATATATAGAAAAAATATTGCTGTTTTACTTTGTCTTCTATAATTTTTTTTTTATTTAGTCCTTTAAGAGATATCTGCTTTGGATGTAGCATACAACGCAGATTGCATTACTGATACATACTATTCACTGTGTAATTTTCCATGATGCATGTAAAAATATTAACTAATCAATTTTCATGTCTCTGAGATAGATTACAGAATCTCCAATATACCTGGAGAAAAAAATAAACGCTTAAAAGGACTTGCTTAATATGTTAAAACATTTCAAGAAAATGATATGCACTGGAATTCAGAAATTGCTATGAGTCAATCCTTTAGCAAGGTTTTGTCAGAACTGAAACTCTTCTTACTCATGCTATTTTCATTCTCACGTCTACAGTGACTTTTAGGAATGGACAGATCATACTGCACATACTTATATGTGTACCTCATATACTACTTTTAGGACAGATCATACTGCACATACTTATATGAGTGTACCTCATATATTTGCATATACATTTGGCAGACAAATATAAACATAAATAATTATCACACTTGTTAAGGGTCTAAGTATTCTAGTTGCACAATGATAAATTGGCTGGTCTCTTATTGAAATCAGTTTCTTATCTTCACAGAGCAGAAAAGAAACCTACTTTGTATATTTACAGATCATACTGCACATACTTATATGAGTGTACCTCATATATTTGCATATACATTTGGCAGACAAATATAAACATAAATAATTATCACACTTGTTAAGGGTCTAAGTATTCTAGTTGCACAATGATAAATTGGCTGGTCTCTTATTGAAATCAGTTTCTTATCTTCACAGAGCAGAAAAGAAACCTACTTTGTATATTTATCATAACTCCAGCAATAGCATCTGGAACTTGTAAGAAATGTTACTTTTTGTGTGCATCTTCATTACTTTTTGTGCTGATTAAATGGAGTGTAATAGAGAGAAGATACTGGCTTTACTTAAGCAACTGGGGAAATGGGACAAATCTACCAGGAAGAAAAAATATGTAATCTACAAGCTTGGATGAAAGCTGATAAGAAAAGAAAAATAGAAAAACCACAGCAGCCCTTCTAGAGGTTGTTTTTGAATGACCTGAAGCTTGTTTTCTAATTAATTTCCAACTTTAAGTTTACATCACTGAAAGTCATCATCTTTGCTGACACACAAACCAATTATTTACTTTACAGATGCCTACGAATGAAAAATACTGATTCAGACCAAAGCAAGATGATTAAGGTAAAGCAAATGTTCTGCTGGACTCACCTTAGGCACCCAGTGGCATTGCGCAGCACCTGTGATGAATGGAGTTGTATTTTATGATCATCCTGGAGCGGAGAGTTTTCCCATCCAGAGTGAGGGATGATCACTGCATTGGTCAACACTGCGAGGGCATCCTGGATGATTGGCATTTTCAGTGCATCACAGGAGGATAGATTCCAGAGAACTCCTACAAAAAAAAAAGAACATGAGTAATAATTAACACTTCTCCAAAAAGAGGTTAAATAGTTTTCATCTAAAATAACTCAAACCAAACAAATGTATTTCACAGCATCGGTGTGCATAATTAAGCTGTTTCTGTCAAGAATAAAACAACGTTGGAAATGGGACCAAACGATACCTGGTCCCAGTGGGAATACAGCTTTGAATACACAACATCTAGTGACAGCAACACTGGAAATTTCTCAGAGCTGAGCCTAAAAAAACTGAGCAGCTGGTTAGGATTTAGGCCTAAATAGGCTGTGAAGCACACATGGAATGAAGGAATATGACAAGAAACATTTTAGGGTTTGGTCTTCAGAGTTCTTCCTTCTAAATAAAATTAATAAAAGCCAACTGTAGAAAATAGGTTCTGATTCATGCTAAAACTTTCAATATTGATAGATATATATTGAGAGAACAAAACCTCAACTATATGATCTTCAATGTAATGGAAGTAAATGTCTAGGCTATGTGGTAGTACAGGCAAAAAGACTTTCTCCACAACCTTATACAGCTGTATGGCATAATCCCAGCTGTCAACAAGTAATTTTTTATTTTGTAAATATTTTACCACACAAAGTTACAGAATACTACTGTTTTTACACAGAAACAACAAGTTAATGGCGCAACTCAGGAGGAGATTTACTGCAGTTTAAAAAACGACACTCCTGTTTCATTTCATAATGTGCCAAAGCAAAGGAAGATAAATCAAGAGCCAAGGCTTTCTGAGCACAGTTGCAAAGATCAGGGTCACTGCAGATGAGCCACAAAGAAAGCAGGCAAGAAATTGTTGTGAGCAAAAGACATCCTGCTTTCCATTCCCTTGTATACATTTGTGCATTTGCTGGAAAAGGACATTTGATTTTTGTGCTGGACCAAGAGCCTGCTGATGCTGCTAGGCTGCTACTAGTGCAGGGGGGAAGCTGGAGGAAAACACGCTCTCCTGAAGAACCAGTGGTCATTATTTTAGCCCAATATCCTCCCAGGCACAGCTGGAATAGCAAGCCTACATCTTCATCCTTCCTCCCCTTGCCAACACGTCCTCTTCTCTAGAATATAGCTCCACCACTCTCAACTCTCCTTCCCAGGACAATACCCTGGCCCCACACCTGACCTTGAGGGGTAAAATTGAGTTTTGACTTTATGGCCATCAAGTCTTGAACTGAAAGATTATCATCATCATCACATATAAAAGGTTACAAATATGAACACTATCAAAAAACAAAGTGAGTGATGGTAGGAGGAAACTGCTGAAAACCTCAGGAACATAGACTCAGAAATTTATAAATATAAGCAGGAATAACACCACTTGCTCAAGGCTTTCTTTAGCATTCTGTGGTTTGACAGAGCAGTGTAACTAATAGGAATCAACCTACATTTTTGGGTTTCCCTTTAAAATTAATTACCTCTATGGGGAGACAGTTTCAGTTATACAATTTCATGTATAATTTATTTTATATGGAGCTGTCTGCAAAAATGATTATGTAGCTAAATGTAAAAAATTTGATCAGCATACTAATAAAACCCCCCTATTAAATTAATCTGTATGAGGCAGACAGACTTTAGCTACGGACTGAAAAACAAAGCATAAAAAGCATAAATAAGAATACTTTTCATTTAAGAATTGCTACTTTAAAGGGAAAAGTTTTTGTTTGAATTCTGTTCTGAATGCCATTATGAAAAGGAATTCCATATTTAAAGGAATAAAGACCTTAATAAATACATTTATACTCACATTTCTATGACCTATTCTGGGTAAGCTTTATTGACACATCTAGTATTCTTGAAATACCTAGCATTTTGCTGGTTTTAGTGAGTAAATACAACAGTGTGGTTGCCTTTTTGTTTTACATTTATCTAGACAAGTGTAAATGACATGCATGGTATAAAAGCAGAGAATCAGAATGCAAATCTTTCCCCCTTTAAGGTTCAATTTAGTTCTTATGCAACACAATGTGTTGCATCTTTGTGAAGAAGTCTTATTTTGAAGGTGAAGCAGAAGAGAACACTTTGATGGCAACAAAAGTGTACTTTGGGCTGCAAGAATTAGTCATGAACTGGAAAACCAGAAAAGAATACAAAAGAAGCAAACATAAGAGCTCTGTCTAGCAAAATGCTTAAAAATGTGTATGTCTACACTATTTTCCATTCACTGCAGGTTCTTGCTAATTAAAAGTAAACTCACATAAACATCATGGTGAGTTGGTATTCAGCAGAAGCTGAGATGTCTAGAAATATTCTTTAACCCTTCTTTCTCTCTGGTTTCACTAACCAGAAATAAAATGTTTGGAGTCAAAGGATGATGGGATCACCAAGCTAAAACAGCTATTCCACCTTCTCCTAAAATGACCTTAAGGCAGAATCAAGCAAAATGGCACTGCCCACTAAGCTGTCTTCAAAGTTTTTGCTCCTCACTGTTTTAAGGAGTAAGATAATCTTCATATTACCAACCATGTGAATGAAAAAACCCACCAAGTTTCTCCTGACAAGTTGTAAGTTATTCTCACAAGCAGTGGAGTATGCTACTTGCTGAGGTTGGCATTCTACATACCTCCTTGTAACCTTCCTTAATTAATGATTTGCAATTATGAAAGGGCACTGGCAGTTCAATTCCAATTCACTTACAATTGTTTTTGCGGAGGATGACCTCGAGCTAGATTTATGTGTGTTCTGAGAAGATGATCCATTGCCTTGACTTTGCAAGGGAGAGTGACAAAAAAATAAATCTTTTACCTGAGGCATCTTCCATTATGCAGCTACCTCTTCACCACATGACTGAACGTATTATTCCAGCACGTACGCATGACATGCCCTTTAGGACTATAGTAAGAAACTGGTCACTGAGACCATTTGACACCTTACTCTGAAAGCCCTGACTGAATTGGGTTTCTGACCACAACAAGCAAGTCTGGAATAGCCTCAGAGGTGCCTTGATTGCCCTCTAAATAATTTGAATGCCACCAGCTGCACACAGGAAGGGAAGGGACTGGACTAACCAGTGATTCAAACAGTGGGACCCACCCTGCTGTATATGTACTGAATGGCATTTTGTGTCCCCACTTGCAGATCACTTTAGGTTGTATTGTATGCCATGTAGAAAGAGGAAAATACCTACACCATAGCAATAGAACACATCTATTTGCAGGTTGAAGTTTTTCACACTTACATATAACAAACTGAAATACAGGGGAAAAGTATCTTGAAATCTCATTTTAAGTTTAAAACAGAGTGGAAACTGGTATTGAAAGTATTCAGTTGTTTCTAATTGGGAGATGGAGTTTGGGTCTGAGTACTAATTACCAGTCTAGCAGACATCAGATGAAGGACTCTTAGAGAGAGTCTACAGAAATGCCAAACTACGGAGATATTACTGCATCAAGTTACACCTTCTGGAGTAGCTTATCAGAGGACATGCATCTGCTATGGTTGACAAGTCATCACACTAAATGTAAATCATGTTTTCTAAGAAGGCTTTTCACAGATAATGACAATCAAATTTAGAAAATGATTATAAATTTTGGAAGAAGGTTGTAATTGACCTATTAAAAGACATAACTGCACAGATGCAGTTCATAAGGAAAACTACACATAGATTTTTAGTTAAGGCAGTTTAGGTTTGTTGCCACTGCACGAGGGAACTTAGAGAACAGAGAACCAGGAAAGCTTTGACTTTCTCTTAGCTGAAGTCCAGAAGATTGAAGACAACCCTTTTAAAAGCACATACCAGGCTGATGAGATGTTACTACTGCTTAGATGACAAAGCCTTGCTTTCAGCTTAGAAACAGCACTTCTTTTTACATAAATTAATTTAATCTCTTGCAATAGATACTGCAACACATATGCTAAAGAAACAAAGCAAAATATTTTAAAACTTTGAAGTCACTCAATTTAATGGACCAGTCTGAGCCAAAACCCCATAAACTCTGAACGAGGCTGGAGCCCAAACTCATCCTGATTAAACACTTCATTGAAATTTTTTTTGCCAGTGTTTTAGTTAGAACTGGCACTCACATACAGCTATCTATAGTCAGATATAGCTGAATACCCAATGTGACACTAACCTTATTCCATCTGAAGTTAAGAAAATAGAGGATAGCTGAATACCCAATGTGACACTAACTTTATTCCATTTGAAGTTAAGAAAATAGAGATCATATACTTCTATGAAAAAAATATTATCCTAGCAAGAAAACGTGCAAAATCAGGGAAGTCTAACCAATTATTTAGGGCATAATTTACTGCTCACTCAAATCATGACTTTAAAATATATATAAACAAACCTCATAGAACAACACAGACTACAAATATAAACGGAAACCAAGAAACTGGAAAAGTCATCTTTTCCAAAAAGGATTGTCCCTGCCACTCTACCAAATTCCATTTTCATTTTTTTATTGTGCTGCAGAAGTTGTACTTTCCCAAATAAATTATATGATAAAAGGATTGTAAGTAAACAAGTATTATTGGGAGGAACAAGATTTTGATTCTTCTCAATATGGCATGTTTAAGTCAACCTTAAATTGATATTATATATATATTTGGCTTATTTAATATTCTTTGCAAAAATAAAAATGCAGAAGTCTTTCAATGCATCCAGGTTTTTCTTTTCCATCATAATTTAATAGTTTGGTCATGGACTGATGAAGAAAGCCATTTGGTAGTGCTGGGAGACTGCATCCCAGGAAGAGCTTTGGCAGATTTTTCTGTTTATATGCTGAAGGCACACAGATACTACAGGGAGTTTCCCTCATGAACATGACAATTAAGATTGAAATCTGAGTGCTAAATACCCTGCACAGAAGCCAAGCGCAAGGGATCTTTTGCTGGAGTCCTTAGGAAAAGCATCTTCTACCCCAAGCTCTCAAGTGCTAGATAACTCATTTGCTGGCAGCTTTGACACTTAGAGCCCCCCCTGTAATTGCAAGGCTGCTCTGCAGAGCTGGATCTGCTCCCTGGCAGCAGATGTGG